TTTTGAGAGAAAACATATACATATTAATGAAAGAATGTATTCGTATGTGTGTCAGTGAAAGGAGCTGTAACTTACATATAATTTGGTCATGCGATGCTGTCTTTTACCTATTTCACTGAAGCACTGATGGAGGTGCTGATGTTCTGTATGATGATTCTGCACAAAAAGGACTAGAACAAAAGAAATGACTTGTTTCTGATTCACCATGCCCAGGACTTTTCAGTGTATCCCAACTCGAGTGCTTGTGACAAGGCAAGGCCAGCTAAAGGCACTTAAAGCTGCAGGGACTTAGTGAATTGGATGCAGAGAAGGCGATCAGTGTTCTAATTATATAATTTGTTTTTTCTTATAGGTGCATGGTTGGCTATGTGAATGCCAGCTTGTCTGTGTTTAGAATTTCTGACTTTGAGAACCGATCTGAGCCTGAGTCTGATGGCAGTGAGTTCTCGGGAACTCCTCTCAAGTACTGCAGGTGAGCGTGGCACTCTCAGCTCTGTTTGAGCTGGGCGGGCTCTGCCACGGGGAGGTTTTGCTCTGACAGCCTCTTCTGGCTGAGTGGATTCAAAGCAGTGGTTGTCAACCTTAACTATGCATTAAAATCACCTGGGGAAGTTTAAAACCTTCTCTTGCCCAGGCTGCGACCCAAACCAATTAGAACAGAATCTCAGGAGGTGGAACTCAGACATCAGTATGGTTAGAGAACCCCAGGTGAAAAGGTGAGAACTGCTGGCTTAAAAGCAAAAACTAAAAATATAGTGGTCAAGGGTTATACGCCTGATCCAGGGATTTGGGGACAAACAGTCCCCAGGTGGTTTGAGTGACAGCTGTTGAGGCACTTGCATTTGTTCAAAGCTTTCCATGCTGTATAACATCACATTTCCAAATGGTCAACAACTCAGATACATGAGCAAAGAGGCCCACCTTGCTTCAGGTTTGCAGCACATGCACTCTCTTGCTCCTTCTAAGAGGAAATTAATTCAGCTGTGCCTCTTGATATTTATCTATACAATAATATATACAACTCAGATACATGAGCAAAGAGGCCCACCTTGCTTCAGGTTTGCAGCACATGCACTCTCTCGCTCCTTCTAAGAGGAAATTAATTCAGCTGTGCCTCTTGATATTTATCTATACAATAATATATAGAGGAGAATTTATTGAGCACCTACTACGTGCCAGGAACTGTTACTTCATTTAATAGTCATATCAATCTTTTAAGATAGGCGGTATTATCCCATCTGACAGATGATAAAACCATTCACCAAAAGCTCAATGAAATAACTGTGTGCAACTGTTGAAATTAGGTTCAAGTGGCATATTTGCTCTTAATACTTTGATGTTATAAGAATTTTGTGGATTTCCCATCATGACATTCTGTGGTATAAATAGATATATAGGACTTCTATTTTCAGTCATATAGCAGGTGAAACACCTGGATCAGCTCTCAGGCTGAAGACATCTACACATGTGGATAAAATTTTCAAAACACCTTCTCAAATGCATCGATGACCTAGGAAGAAAATCTGGTATTCTAAAGCCAAAACTAAATGAAGGCGGAACCCAGAGTGGTACACAGAACATTGCAGCCAACTTTTACCCAAGGAGGGGACCTGAGCTTTGCTGTTCAAGGCCATCCACAGTTAGGGAGCTGAAAGAAAATATGGAAATGACCAGCCCATGACTAAATCTAAACAAATACGTCATGAGACAGCTCTAATATATTTATACCAGAGTCTGTCGTACAGTGATGAAAGTACATTAGCTACATGCAGTGCCATGAATGGATCTAAGCAACATGACAGTAAAAATAAGCAATCCTCAGAAGACTACATACAGTGTAGTATCCTTTCCATAAGTTCAAAAACAAAACTAAACGGTATAATATCTAGACGTATATATGTACATGTAAGTGATAAAAATGAAATTCAGGATAGAGAAAGCAGGGGAATGAGATGAAGGAGGGGCACAGAGGCAGATGTAAATTCCTGGTGATGTTTTACCTCTTGGGCTTTGTGGTGGATTTATGACAGTTCAATATATTATTAAATAAATAGACATAAAAATTACATAAAAGAGGACCATGAATGGACTAATAAGATTAGTTATGAAAATTAAGAGTTATGGTTTGGACAATTGTGTGCACCCCAGGGCCAAAATAATATTATATGGAAATGCAAAGATGGATAGACACTTTTGAAGAAGAGCAAGGTGGGAGATTTACCTTAAGATATAGTATAAAATTATAGTAATTAATCAGTGTGGTGGTGTCACAGGAACAGATAAATAGAAAATGGAATAGAATTGAGAACCCAAAAATATCTTGCACAATAAAGATGCAATCACAGAAAAATGCGTATAATATAATTCTATTGCATAGAGTTCAAAACAGAAAGACTAAAAGCTATTTTATTTAGGAAAACATGCATAGGTGGTAAGAAAAGCAAGAGCACGGTTGTCACAAAAATTAAAATAGCACTTACCTCTCGAGGCAGCTGGAATGCCAGCAAAGCCTTTCTAAACCATTGACCATGTTCTGTATCTTAACTTGGATCGTGGCTACATGAGCTTCATTTATTCTTTCAAATGTACATGTAGTTTTATTTTTACAGTTTAAAAATGGAAATAAATTAACTCTACCTTTTGCTAGAAAAATAATGTTTGCAGGCCAGTCATCCATTTCTTGAGAAATAGAAGCAGCTTTGGGTAGTGTGCTCACTTAAGCTAAGAAGGAACACCCTGCCTTGCCACATGTAAAATGGAAGCCAAAAAGTTAAAAGTTTCATTTTCTGAAAATAGCTCAGAGTCGCTTGAAAATTTTCATCCAATCATTAATACCACTGGACTACTTAGTGTCCCTGAAGGTATCAGACTAAAAGATTAGAGGAAAAAAACTTTGATTTTTATTAGCTTTAAAACTTGGCTTCATGGCTGTTTCTACAACAGCAGAGGGAAGTGTTTTCTTTGTACAAGTGCCAGAGAATATGCAGCCAGTCATTTTGCAAATAAATAGCACCACATCAAGAGGAGAGAAACATGGCACAAAGGACATGTGAGCATGGACCTCTCCCAAACCTCTGCCTAATGGAAAGACCAGTGGGATCTGGGTAGACTAAAGCATGAACTGAGAGATCCACTGGCAACAGTTACCTGCAAATTCATAGAAGAAAAGAATAAGGGTCCAACATTCTAAAGCAGGATGAGATGGAGAGATCCTCATGTTATTAACAGGGAAAACTGCTGTCCAGAAAAGAATTCCCTGCTTCAGTGAACACTGTTGTATAAAAAGGAACCAATGAAGATAACTCTTGGGACAATTTGAGGTGCCTCCTTTTATAACTATTCCTTTCTGTAATAATCAACTATATGTGCAATAAAAAGCATACTGCTGTTTTTCTTCTAGAGTATTTACGTGGACTATACCTGAAATATAGGTAACTAAAGATGAATCCAGGAATTACATTTGTTATCTTTATTGCCGAAAATTCAGTTCCTGGTTCTTGACTAGCTGTACTCTGCAAAATATAAATGTAGGTTAGAATAGTCCATGCAAAATTTTAGTCCTGAATAATATTCTTCCTAATATTTTCGCAAAATATAAATGTAGGTTAGAATAGTCCATGCAAAATTTTAGTCCTGAATAATATTCTTCTTCCTAATATTTTATGCATAGTTATTGGTCCTGTGACAGGAACAGGTCATATAAACACATGTTAGAAAGAACAGTGGTTTTACATGATTACCTTATCCTCATCATCATAGAGAGAGCCAGCAGTTCGAAGGCACTAACAGATTCATTCTTAATTTCAACACCAGGTAATTATTATAACTATCACTTTAATGACAAAATAATCATGATACATTATTGGCACATACCCATAAACACTGATAATAATTAAGATGATGATTGTGACGATGATCAGAATGGTGACAGCTCATATTTTTCTAGTTTTTGACTCATTTCAAAGATACTCTGTATAGGAAATTATCCTGTCTCCTCATATGCAAATTAGTCTTATATGAGAACCTGAATAATCATAATTTTTATTCAGACAAGGGAATTTGGTACATTTATGCAGCAGAACGTTTAGAATAACCAGCATTTCTAGATCTTTCCACATTTCTGGCGCTAATGAAAAGAACACTGGGTTCAAAACACATGCAAACTATATCACACTGAGTGACTCACTGTTCAGTTTTCCCACCTGTGATAACAGTAATGATAATGGTAAGGATAAAACGGAGTCACATGGATGCAAGTTCCTAGGATAGTGCCTGGTCCCTAAGAGGCCCGCAGTCTCCTCATATGCAAATTAGTCTTATATGAGAACCTGAATAATCATAATTTTTATTCAGACAAGGGAATTTGGTACATTTATGCAGCAGAACGTTTAGATTAACCAGCATTTCTAGATCTTTCCACATTTCTGGCGCTAATGAAAAGAACACTGGGTTCAAAACACATGCAAACTATATGACACTGAGTGACTCACTGTTCAGTTTTCCCACCTGTGATAACAGTAATGATAATGGTAAGAATAAAACGGAGTCACATGGATGCAAGTTCCTGGGATAGTGCCTGGTCCCTAAGAGGCCCGCGACAAACATTTGTAGAATTTGATGCTGACTCAAAAATTATAGCTGGAGGACACATGAGGAAGAATTTCTCAGTAGCAAGTGGCAGAGATCCAGTGTAAATTGACATAAAAAGAAAGTTACTGGTTCACGTAACTGGAAGAGTCAAGGGGTGATATGAACTTCAGTGATGGCTGGATCCCAAGCCTCAAGAGTATCAGCAGGACATGCCTCTCCGCTGGCTTTGCTTGGTTCTGTTGACTTCATTCTCAAGCAGGNACAAACATTTGTAGAATTTGATGCTGACTCAAAAATTATAGCTGGAGGACACATGAGGAAGAATTTCTCAGTAGCAAGTGGCAGAGATCCAGTGTAAATTGACATAAAAAGAAAGTTACTGGTTCACGTAACTGGAAGAGTCAAGGGGTGATATGAACTTCAGTGATGGCTGGATCCCAAGCCTCAAGAGTATCAGCAGGACATGCCTCTCTGCTGGCTTTGCTTGGTTCTGTTGACTTCATTCTCAAGCAGGCTCACTCTCTCTGCACAGCTGGTGATGGCCACCAGCAGTTGCAGGCTTTTACCTTCTGTGGGCTCAGTGATAAGTCACTAAGTGATAGTTCTAGCAGATGTCCTGGTGATGAGTCTCACTGATCAGGGCTGGCTCACCTTTCGGCTCATCTTTTGAGCAAGGGAGGGGACAAGGCCTATCCAACCCATACAGATGATTCCCCAAAGGAGAAGAGAGATTCTTTTTTGAGAAGAAAAAAATGATGGACAAGCAAAACAACAGATATCTAGTATAGAGAAACTTTTTAAATTTTCCTCCCATGAATGAGGACTACGTAGTGGAAATGGAAGAGATTTGGGAGTCAGAAAAATGATAACTTAGAATGCAACATTCTCCTGTGTCTTTACAGATACCGGGACTACCGGGAACCTCCACACTCAGTGGTGCCCTATGGCTACACACTGCAGTTCTGGCACGTCCTAGCAGCTCGGCTGGCTTTTATCATCGTGTTTGAGGTAGGCTTTCTCCACCAGTTCCTTTATTTCCTTGTACATAGTGAAGTCGGTAGGAGTAATGAATAAATATAAGTGATGGAGACTTTGTGGTTATCTATTTCCACAAATAGTATAGTCATATTAGGTAACCTTTCTTTTATCTTTTTCTTTTCCTTAATTGAAGGAAATTTTTCATCCCCACTCCCATGTCTGCTATTTGCTTTTCACAAACACCACAGGATGATTCTGGTGCAGGTGTCCAAGGACCATAGTCTGGAAGACATTAGATTGGGAATTACAAGTGGTACCTCTGGTTGTAGATCATCGTGACATTACTTATATCCAATCACACAAATGAGATTTATTCTCTAACACTCAAAATGGGCTTATGAAATGAAATCTACCTAGTAATTGTCTATATTATGTGTCAATAAAAATATATTGTCTATTTTCTTTTAGACTTTAAGAATATTGTGATAAAAATAGTTTGCATTTCTGTAACTCTAGTCATAAATGGAAATTTCTTCTCTTGTCACATATATTGGAGCAAGATTAATGCAAGCCAAAGTTGCCTCTTGGTTTGGACCAGAAGTTTTCTGTACCTCTTCGAGACTATTCCATTACGGCTTCTTCCTTCACTCCAGGAAACCAAGAGAAGACAATATTAAGCTGCTCTTCCCTGGAAATTAGCTTATCAATGGCTCAGTCCCTCCAAGATATTTTTAACCTACCACTGTCTTAAATTTTTTCAGATGAAACAAAAAGGAGTTGCATTAAGTTATTATTTGACTTTTCAAGTAGAACTTTCCATTTCCTTTCAATATACTGGTATTAACTATTTTTAAGTACTAGAAATATGGAAAAAAAGCCTATTAATTGACAGAATTATATGCAATTCATGCATTACTAAATTTATCAGGTTTTAAATAAAATATTAACTATTTTTAAGTACTAGAAATATGGAAAAAAAGCCTATTAATTGACAGAATTATATGCGATTCATGCATTACTAAATTTATCAGGTTTTAAATAAAATAAATATTTAGCAGTATCATTTGAACATGATTTAATCTGTTTAATACTTAGAATTATAAGGACCTTTTGAATTGTCACCTGATACTTTATTGGTCACCATGATATAGATAGACAGAGGTGACAGTGATTCTACAGTTCCAGCTATTAGTATATCGGGTAAAGAATTTGTGGAAGCTTACCAAAAAGAAAAAAGTTTCTTCCTAAAGTGATCACTTCCCTAGGCCCATTGATAATTCTTACAATCAACATTTGCAAAGCATTTGGCAATCTACAAAGCATTTTTTAATCATTTTTAAATAATTTTCACAATAAACCCATTTTATAGATGAGCTAATTGAGGCTCAGAGACATTAAGTGACTCATCCTCAGGTAGACAGACAGCCCTTAGGTAGTAAAACCTACTAAGCCAGAACTCACACCTGGGATTTCTGATTCCACGGTGTATGTTCTTCTGGTTCCCCTCCGAATTCTCTGACCGTTCCTTCCCCCACCTTCCTCCCTGACTCCTCTTCCCATTCCCCAGGCGATGCCATCAGACTCAGTTCAGTGCTCACCTTTGATCTTTCATCACGCATGCCCCTCCTGGCCTCATCCCACTTTCCATTCACCCCAGAGGCTCCATATCCTTCTTGAGCCAACTCCCAAAGCTCATTTGGGCTAAAGATGGACTCTCGAACTCACTCTGTCGTGTTCTCTGTGTTTTAGCACCTCGTGTTTTGTATAAAGCACCTCATTTCATATCTGATCCCAGACCTCCCAAAAGATCTAAGGGATCGAATGCGAAGAGAGAAGTACTTGATTCAGGAGATGATGTATGAAGCAGAACTGGAGCGTCTCCAGAAGGAACGAAAGGAGAGGAAGAAAAATGGAAAAGCACACCACAACGAGTGGCCGTGACAGGTGGGTGAGAAACCGCTGCTCGTGGTCTGAAACCACTGCAGGCTGGGAGGGGTCCTTTCCACTCCCTGAAACAAAGCTCGTCGTTGCTGCAGACAATGAAGCAGCATAGAAGCTTCCGAAACCAGCTTGTGCCTTAACTTTAACAATTGTAAGTTTAACTTGATCCTCCCTCCCACACACCTCCTGCAACTCTGCCTCCTTGCCAGACTCAGGCCTGGCAGACAAGATCCTCATGAGCTGGCATAGGTGTTCCCTGAAATAAGCCTTCCAAATCTCCCTTCTACTCCAGCCAGCTGTTCTCTTTAATATCCCCGGAAAACATGCCCTTCTTTCCGGGCATGAAGTCAGCCTTTCATCTCACCCAATGTGACCTTCCCTATATCACCCAGTCATGGTTTCCTCCCAGGCTGATTCCCGTCACACATACCCTCTAAGAAGGTTTTGCCAGACTCATCAGCCTGTTGAGACTTACTCCTTCTAAACTTCTCTGGTTATTGCTGTCAGTACCACATGTATTGAAATATACTGATTTGTATTGTTAATTTATGATTTTCTAATAGTTATCAGGCTTCTCCAACACCATTGTAAGCATCTTTAGGAAAATCTCTATGGATTATAATTTTATTTTTCCAACTAGCTAACACAGTGTTAGGCATATGGAACCCATTAAATGCATATTTGATCAATAAAGGTTTGATGGATTAATGCTGAATACATTGAAAGAAAGCTCCATAATCTTCCCACACATCCCATCAGACAGTTCTTCTGAAACCGTCTCTCTAACAAGTCAGTTGCTAGCTGCGTGACCTTAGACAAATCACTTAACTTCTCTGGGCCTCAGTTTCAACAGCGATGAGATGTTTAGATGAACTCTTCATTCTGATTTAATCACAGAATTTTGTTTTCTTTCCTTGCCTTTCATTTTTCTCTCCACCATTTGATGAAAAACTAACTTTGAAAACATTTTTCAAAATTTGGCCTCCAAAAGAAAAATGAAGTATACAGGAAAAAGTATGGTTTTCACTTTTCTTATAGCTTAAAATGTATCAGATATCTGCAGAGATGTTTGTTGTTAAGTTAGTAAAGTTGTATCAACCCAGATCCATGCTAAGAGTCCAGAAGAAGGTTATTATGAGTTGGATATGAGGGTGGATCTGGAGAAATAACCTAGACCCCAAACCCACAGGGATAAAAGTGGTACATAGATGTTGAACACTGGCCTTGCTCTCAATTCCAAAGTGGACCTTGGCACTATAGGCAAGATATGTTTTGCTACTTAGTAATTTTACCATTTCCTAGATCTGCTATTTGACTGGGTAAATAACTTTACTGAGCCTGCCTGTTTGGCAGAATTAATAGGCAGCACAAGTAAATGTATGTGAGACATTAATTAAGCAATAAAGTGCTAAAGAATGCTTTATGGGATTTGTATTACTGTTAAGCATTGTATTTATAGTCTGCTGGATTCTAGAGCTGACTCATCTGTTCTCAGTCTGTATGATCTGAGACATAGCATTCACATGAATTCAATTTCTGTTTTCACAAATGTAAAGAATTTGGGCTAAACAGTACTTCAAGAGCCTTTCCAGCTTTACCTTTTTGGGATTCTGGAATTTGCTGCCAGCCCCCATCCCCCACATGCATTCTGATCTCCTCTTCTCTGGCTCTGGACAGTCTTTGGAGGAGAAAGGCTGACTATATCTGGGGACTTGGGGTGGGGTGGAGTGAGGGGCAGACACTACTAAAGAGAATTGCTCCTGAGAGCTTCAGTGGCCAGGGACCAAGGTGCAGCAGGGTGGTATTATCCACAGCTCAGGCTGTGCTGGGCTTTAGGGCCGGCAACTGATCAGAGTTTCTTCTGGCCTCAACGCTATGTGCTGCTTTCTTCTCAAAGAGGACATTTCTCATTTTTGCTTGAAAGCATAGTTTTTAAGTGTTTCTATTCCCCCAATAGTTGGCAGGATGTCACTTTGCTTCTGAATGCCTTTCTGACTCAGTCTATTCATCTGCAAAGCAGGCATGATAATGTTTATACCATACCTGGCTCAGTTTGAGGTTATAAATTCTTTGAATGCCTTTGATGTGTGGTAAGTACAAACCACTGCATTCATGTTCAGCCGTCGTGTGTGCACAGGATCTTGATGGCTTCTTTCCTCTTTCCAGGTGATAGTTCATTTCCAGGCCAAGGACCTGAATTCTGTTTACTTCTCCCAGCTGTGCAAAAGCACATTCAAGTGAATGACTAAAAATGCGACCGAAGAGCATGTTGCAGACACCGCAGCTGCAGGCGGGTCAGCACCCTGTAGAGGACTGCCGGTGGAGGCACGCTGCTGCGAAGTCACACTGCAGTCCAGCACACAATTGCTATCTATCCATAGACCATTCTTGACCAAGCAAGCATGCACGTATGGGCAGTTACATTCTCAAGTTTTTAAAACCAAGGGGAACTTCGATACTGGGCCTGTTTTTCAGCCTGTTTGCTACCTTTTTTGCATTCTACCCCATGTGAATTTTACAGACACCTAAAAAGTGTATTCAGACACCTGGACACACACTCCTAGAATGTCATCATGTGGTCCGTTTGCTACCTTTTTTGCATTCTACCCCATGTGAATTTTACAGACACCTAAAAAGTGTATTCGGACACCTGGACACACACTCCTAGAATGTCATCATGTGGTCCTACTTCCATGTCACCAAATGACACAGACAAGACCCTGTTTACAACATTTTCTTTCTTTTTTTTTAATTCAAATCTTTCTGAAGAGATTATTATATATAACATATCTATAGCTATGTGTATGGCCATAGATGTATTTCTGTGTGTACATATGTATAGTCATGTATTCCTACATATGTACATACAAATACAGAGATATATAAAGTACATAGAAATTCCTTACTTGTAAATAGCCAAAAAGTACTGACGTGAATGACAGATTTTCACATTTAAATAGTCATCAACATGGAGCCATGTTTAATGCTTGTATAATGTGATGCAATAAAATTTAAAATAAATTTATGCACATGGAATATTTTCAGCTGGCTCTTCTGAAATTCTGTTGTATTTTCTTCTTATAGAATAAGAAGAATCATAGCAGAGTGGGATCTTTAATGCAAGGTCTCTCACGCCCACGACATTCCTGAGAAATCACTTCACCCTGCAGAGAGACTACCTTTTTCTTCCCCGCCCACCTTTTCCATTTTGCTTCCATGCTACCTCCCTGGGGTACGAAGCAGATTAACTAGAAATCACTCTGAAGGGCTTGGGAAATGCCGTTACCACAGTGGTTGAGGAAATGTGAAATACAGCCACTGCTGTTTATATGCTTTTGGTGCCGCCGCCCAACTAGCGTGCTCTGCTAGTGTGATGGAAGGGGCTGCCTATCTGGTGTGGGGGTCAGGGGAAGCATGTTGCAATTACTGTCTTTCCAGAGATACAGAACCTGTCTTTTTTAAAAATTTTTTATTTTTATTGTATATTATTGATTTTTATTTGAGATACATATACATAGTGAAATGATTACTGCTGTCCAATTTACGTATTCATCACCTTCCACAGTTACGTGTGTGTGTGTGTGTGTGTGTGTGTGTGTGTGTGTGACCTTAACTCTGCCAGTTGGGGGAGGTGAAAGTGTTCTTGTCACCATGTCCATCAAACACTGTCTAACCTTGGCCAGGGGTTCACCTGAGCCAATTCCCAAGGACCCCGGGTCCCCTGAGATGGGAACAGTTGGTCAGAGTGGCCTTGGGCAGGCTAGAACTTCACGTGTTTCTTACTTCCATCTTTCTAGCACTCTCTCAGACCTACATTTCAGGGAGTGAAATACGAACCCTGCCAGGGCATAAACTAAGGAGATGCACATTATAGGCACTGAAAGACAAGAGTTTTCTTTTCAGTCATTGGATAAAGAGTCTGTGAAATATTTTACACCAGCCCTGGGAGAGGAATTTCCAAAGAAAGTCTCAAGATATGAAATACAAAGATGCTCCAAAAAGACAATTTGCTCTACTGACTCTTGGTTGAAACCTCTGGTTGCTATGCCTAAAGCTCCACCCCACGCAACCAGTTCCTGGATTTGACATACCCACATCTGCTCTCCTACCCCTTGGGGCATGGGAAAGAATTGTGAGCTCCTCCTTGTGTTTGATGGGCTGTGTACATTCAGAAGTAGGTAGAAGACCACCAAGGCACTGGTCAGGATAAACAAATAAACATTAATTAAGTACCACTTGCTACTTGGTCTGAGCATAAACTGAACCTAAGACAACTCTATGGTCAGAAGTTTTTTCTGCCTGCAAAATTCTGCCCTTACTATTTCAAGTGCCTCTGGCAATCACAATTCCTAATGTGTTTCTAACATACAATTTTTTTCCTTCCTTCATCCCTTCTCTCCTCTCTTTCTTCCTTTCTTCATTTCTTTCTACCAGCACAGTGAATGTACTGCTCATCTTCCCTGTTTTTGGTACAAGAAACATGTGGTAAATATCTTGAAATGTTCTTAGGTTTGTAAGGTGAGAAAGGCAAAGTAGATTATAGAGGGGAATTTTTGAGGTACTTTGTAAGGAATCAAATGTTGATTGTATGAATCATGCAAAAACAAACAATATAGCCAGCATAATATTAGCATATGCTTCTGACAAACATTTTCCCCCAGTCTTGATAGTGGAATATTTTAAACTTAAGGCATAATGAGTATGCTGTAATTTGAGGATTTGCTAACCTACCTAATCTTATAAATCTTCATAAAAGTAGATTAGAAATGACCTACTTCAATACTATAATCATCATTAAAACCTTGGCTGTCTGAATCCCTTAGGAAAGTGGTGACTCTGGACATAGGGTTATCCAAATAGCAAGAGGGATTAATCTTTGAACTGACAAAATTCTATGTTAGCTGATTTTTTTAAATGGAAACTTTTCTATAAATGTACCATTCACTTCCCAGGTTTTTAAACAAAGGAAATTGAAATATATGTTTTCATCTTTTGATGGTTCCCTGGCATCACTATGAAACTTTGACTCTTCAGCAAGTATGTCTCCCAACAAGTCCTGTCCACTGGGCTCTCCCTTCCCCAAAAATCTCCTATTGCACAATCCGCCTCACTCACTCGGATTCTTTTCCCTGTGCGTTATTCCTCACCAGTGTGTTCACACCTGTCTTATATCCCCAGGTAGCTTGTAAGTGAGAGAGGTCAAGAAGCCCACCTTCTCTGCCCCGACACCTAACAGTGTAACGCCCACAGTCATGTTTTCATGTTTCTTAAAAGAGTCTAAGTGGGAGACACACTTTTGCTTATAGCATGCAATCAATCTAAATTTTCCTTCCTGTCAATATATATTTCAGCATGAAAAAAACCAAGTGTAAGACCTCAGCATCATATAATCTGCTACTCTAGTGAAGGAGTTAAAGCCACTGAGATCACATGTGATATATGTCAGTTATTGTTTTCCCAGCTGGGACATTGAGTGATTTCCCCATTGCCCATTGACAGGATGTTGACACCAATTTATAGTATTTTCAACAAAAAAGTAATGGAAGGCATGCTTAACAATGTTTCTATTAGATAAGTGGTTTAAGATACTTGAAGTATTCAGTTTAGATCCCATTAATCTCCTGGTAGGGAGGGGTAAATACCAAAGCTGTAATCAGTGGGATTCTCTGCACAGGCACCCTTGGCTTGCACTGACGTTAGCCCCCAAGGAGTAATCTTTAACTTTCATTAATTCAGACTTCACTAATTAGGAAGTTGTGATCATATGGATAGGCTGAGGTCCAAAATGAAAAACAAATAATGTGAACGAAATAGAAGAAATATTCTAACCATTTTTAAAGGAATCATTTGTGTATATACTTATTTGCTGATTATAAACCCAGTTTGCTTTTCCTGCTAATTATCATTATCATCTAGTCCAGTAATTCTCAAACTCTAGCATGCATCAGAATCACCTGGGTCCTACCATCACCGACGCTTCTGATTTAGTAAGTCTCAGAGTGGACCCAGGAATTTCAAGTTTTAGCAAGTACCCAGGTGGTGTTGATATTATTGGTTTGGCACCCCACTTTGCAAACCATAAAGCTAATTGGTATTTTATGGCCATAATTTGAATTACTTTAATATACTCTGTAATTCAAGCTAAGCTCAATCAGTTTCATCTGATTGTTTTTATATTTTAGACAGTATAAAAACCTGGGAGAAAGGTAAGTAGGCAGCAATTTCAAACTATGATATTAGTTATAGTAGCAGTTATCAACGGATCATATCAATCAATACACAGCACTGTCACTGAGGGCTTCTTAGCTGAGAAGAGTACTGGGTGTTTCTTGATGGATCAGGTCAGTGCCACTCAAGGTTCTTCACCTTGACCTGCATTTTGCATTAACCCAGAAGGCTGAAAATAACCCCTCCCATCTCCAACTCTCACTCTCGCCAGGTTAGGAGTGAGCTTACATCAGCATGTACAATCGAGCAAATATACGGATTACGGTCCTGGAGTCAGACGAAACTAAGTCCAGCTCCAAGGTATATGACCTTGGACAAGTGATTTAACTTCTCTAAGATGCAGTTACTTCATGGGGTGGACACCATGACATGCTGCCAAGATCCCTCTTCAATGAAGGACTTCTTGCCCCAGATGTTGGGAGTGCCGTTGACAGCCTCCAGCTATCAGCCCCATCAGGCTGCCTCTTTGCAGGGTCACGTGGTCCAAGGTCATGCCCCTTCCTGTGCAGCCCACGTCAATGATTAATCAGTGCAGGAATATGAAAGCCTGGCTATTTTGGAACAACTTGGATCAACTGTGAAGGTCTCCTCTCACTTCAGAGGTCTCTGTGGGGAAACCATCCTAGGGCCTATATTGTCGCTCAGCCTCCCCTCTGTCCAAACCTGCTTCTGCCTCCTTCCTTCCATAGGGGTTGATCCTAAAGGCACTCCTAAGCACATTATACCACATATCAGAATCTGCCTCCCAGGAAATCAAACCTGTGACTTTCATTAAGGAAAAAAAAATGTGGATGAAAACCCTATCATGCAGGAATTGTATCTATCCATTCATTGAATAAGAATTTATTGGGCCAGACTCTGTTCTAGATGCTAAGAATACAGCAGTGACCACAGATATCTAACTTTAAGGAAATAGATTATGAAAAGCATTAAGAGGTTGAAATCAGTTTTTAGCTACAGTATTGACTACTTGCTATAAAAAGAGGATGAAAGAGTATCTCTTCCTCCCATCACCACTTCCCCACCTACTTTGTCTTTTTTATTACCTAGGCTTATAATATTCACGTTCTGTTGTGAAACCACACGATCCTTGATTGTCTGGGTAAGCAGGTCTCAGCCTGATTGAGCCTATTCCCATATGGGTTCTCTTCCCTACCTCCATGCTGCCGTCAGGAGCTTGAAAATCCTTTTGCATAGCTTTTCCACTACCCCAGATTGTGAAAAGTTGTGAAGCTTTTAAAGTCTTATTCCCTTCCGGCAACAATTTCTTCTTTTATGCTCATGAAACATGGTAAAATCTCTCTTAACTACCCAAGGCCCTATGCCTACCCAGACACACTACTAA